GCAACTGCTTCCTCTATGGCTCCTAATTAATTCACTGGGTGGTGATATCTGAATCTCTCTTCAACTTCCAGAACTCGCTTAAGCCAGCTTGCAGGAAAACTGTAAATGAGACAGGCTCCAGGGTCAGGCCAAGCAAAGCTGCTCAGGCTGGAGGAAAGAGGCTGGGTAGTGGAGATATTTGGGGAAGAAGCAGAAAAATCCTCTGGGCTCAGGAATGGCTCTATACCCAGGAGCCTGGACAGAATGAGCTGGTTTAGAGAGGCTGCCATCTTCATCCCAACAAATTCTGATCCCCAGTTGAGAGAGAGCTATCAAATGTCCACTCGGGGTCAGACATGGGGAGCAGAATGTCCTTTTACTTGACTCCCTCAGCGGTCCTTTGTGTGAGAGATGATTGTCCCCATTTTATAGATGACAAAATTGAGGCTCAGAGGGTGAGTCACTTGCCCCCAGATCTAAGGTGCTGGGCAGCCCTGTGTTCTGGCCATGGTACATTTATAATTTCAGTGGGACAGTTAACCTAGTATGCTTCCCCTATTAAGAGATTAGTGAGGTTGGGGTCTCACTTTTGGATTTGGGAAATGTTTGCTTCCATTTTGAAAGGAAAAAAGAGAAATACAAACCAAGTTACTTCTAATTCTTCCTTTTTCCTCTTGTTCATTTGAGCTCGGAAGCAATTGTACTTTGTTGAACGAACAGAATTCTGCTCCAAACTCCTGCTCGTTAAGCATTCACAGACATTGAAGGCATTTTTTTTTTCATTGAAGGTCTTTTTAAGGTGAAACTGGAAAAGGTTTTTCCCACCCTGGCAGCTCTTTCTGGGATAATGCCACTAACCTGCCATTTGACCTTAGAGACCTCCCTGGAGTTCAGGAAGGCACTGAGAATGGGATGATCAAAGCGTTACCTGAAAACAGAGGAGCATATAGGAAGGCTATGAAATATAAGTATATGTATATCACATAAAATATGTTATGTAACATATGCATGTGTATATGCATGGAGAAGAAAGAGAGAAAAATAACTAAAGGGTACTTTATGATACCTGGACAAAATATAAATCAAAAAAATATATATAACCATGTATAAAGATTTATCAAATGATCACACTTCTTAAACAATGTATAAAGGGTTTCTTAAGAAGTGATGCTGGTGTAACTGGATAGGAATAAAATTTGGATGAATAAAGGGTTTAAATCATCAAAAAATAGTAAGAAAAGCCCTTCTTGGTGGTGCAGCACTGCAAGCTAGCCACAGCTGCTTCAGTGAGAGTTCAATCCCCGGCCCCGGAGGTGGCCCACATGGCGTAGCTGGTGTCTCACCAGCTGCTCCCCTCAGCAGTGTACTTCATTGATCTGCCTGTTCTGCTCCCCACTCTGTCTCTGGTGAATCCTCTCACTGCTCCTGCACCTCTGGCCTGTACTCCAGTTCTGTATGCACAAATAAATAAATCTTAAAAAAAAAAAAGTAGTAAGAAAGAGGAACATACTCATGAGATCTGAGGAAGGATGGAAACTGTCTCAGGTCTGAAGCAATAGAAGGAATCATAAAGGAAAAGCCCAACAGAATCTTTTTTTAAAGATGTATTTATTTATGCACACAGAACTGGGGTACAGGCCAGAGGTGTGGAGGGTGAGAGGAGTCACCAGAGACAGAATAGAGAACAGAACAGGCAGATGTACTGAAGTACACCGCTGAGGGGAGCAGTGGGCAGGTCAGGAGAGGTCTGCTGGTCCACGTGGGTAACCTCCCTGGCCAGGGATCGAACTTGTGCTACAGTGGCTGTGGTAACTTCATAGTGCTGCAGTGCTTTAACCCGCTGTGCCACCAGGGAAAGCCCAACCCAAGACATTACACTATAATAACATATTGATAATTGTGGTAACTTTAACCTAATGTTTAGGAAAACCATTAAGATCACAAAAGTAGAAAAACATAATTCCTGGGCCCTCCCTAGTGGTGCAATGGGTTAAAGCACAGCACTATGAAGCTAGCCACAGTCACTGCAACATGAGTTCAATCCCTGGCCAGGGAGGTGACCACAAGGTGCAGCAGACCTCTCCTGACTCCTTGCTGCTCCCCTCAGCAGTGTATTTCAGTAGATCTGCCTGTGCTGCTCCCCACTCTGTCTCTAGTGAATTCTCTCACCCTTCCACACCTCTGGTCTGTACCCAAGTTCTTGTATGCATAAATAAATAAATCTTTAAAAAAAAAAAAAAAAAGAAAGAAAAACACAATTCCTCCAAGGAGACATTAAAATAGAAAAATACAAAGAACACAAAAGTTGAGGTCACGACCTTCATGGTTCCTGCCTACTGTGTCTTCTAAGCTCCATGGGGAAGGACTGAGGGATGACATGCTAGTCCCCCCCACATAAGCAGACCAGAATATGCCAAAAATGATGGGCTCACCCCAATCCTCCAACTCCAGTTCCCACAAAAGGTATCCTGCCATTTGGTTGAAGGATGGCTGAAAGGACCGAAAGGCCAAGGTCATGACGGCTAACCCTTGGGGCCCAATTAGCTTCATGCTGAGTTGAAGTCACTCTTACATACTGAAGAACCAGACAGCAAGGAAGGATGGGCCCAACTCCATTCCTAACACCGGGAGAAAGGTCCCAGCAGAAACTGAGTGACCACTAGTCTCCCTGTGGCCTAGAAAGGGGAGGGAAGGAGGACTGACTGGGCCATCCTCCCACCCACTGAACCCTGGCAGGTGACTCTGGAGCCATACCAGCATGCAGGGACTCTGACAGGTGTCCTGTGAATCTCACCCCACCTCCCACGGGTTCATCCATTAAGGCGCACTTCTGTACGAAATGATGGGGAGGTTGCCCGCAAGCCCCAGCCAAACATTCTTTCCTTAGCAGCACTAAGTTCACCAACCTCCAAACCCTACCTTTAACTAGGTCCAGAAAGAGGAAGAAAGGATAAAACACTTCTGCTTTTGAATAATAAGACAACCTTCCAAAGCTGTGTGCGACTGGGAGGTTTCATACCTACTTTTCTTTTAGCCATGTTAGGGGAGTAGCTGTGGGTGGCAGCACAAAGCAGGGGAACACAGCAAGGACTGTGACCAGGTCTCCTCCAATACAAGGCACAGAGAGGAAAGGAAATGGCAGGAATGGGCGTCTGACGCTGCAGGAGGAGCGGAAGTAGACATGTGGCAGAACTTAGGAGAGGGGAAGCTTTGGGGCTTCCATTCCAAAAATTAATTTTGTTTGTCCAGAAAGGTTCTGGGTGGGTCTTCTCAGAAGCTGGGGGATGCTCTGTGCCCCCCTGGACCTGGTAGGAGAAATTGGATTTCACAGACTTGTGGTGCTAAGCATTCTCTCTGCTCCCTTGAGTTCCAAATGACTCCTAGGAGTTTCCTCCATTCACCCAATGAGTTTTTGTTTTTTTTTTTTAAATGTGAACTCTCAAGGAACTCGCAAAGGAAATTAATCAAATGAGAAAGATAGACCAGACAGAGAGAAAAAAGAAGGATACACTTTGTTCTAGGTTCTGATTCTAAATCTGGCAGAAGGTGTGAAGGCTGGCAGCTTGCTAGTAGTGGTATCAGTGGCAGCAGGCGGCTCCTGCCTGCCTCTGGGCATCAGGCCGCAGCTGCTGTACTCTTTGGAGCTGGAGGGAGAGTGGGAGGCTCTCAGGAGCCCAGGAAGAGATGCACTACGCCACCAGGACAGGAGCAGAAAGATGCTACCGCAGCCTCGGCTAGGACTCAGGTAACATGGATAAGACCCCAAACCCCACTCTAAAAGTCCACATGTCTTTGAGGCTGCAACTCCATGTCTTCTGTCCCACATGGGCATCTGCATTGAGATGACTCCTCTGATTTAAACCAATACTAATACCACATCCTCACCCTGATGTTTCCTTTCCTTCCTAGATTCAGAACCTCAGAGCTATATACATCAGTCTCCGCATCTACTCGAGTCGAGTAAGAACCATCGCCCCGTCCCTCTCTTCCTTTCTATTCTATCTGTCATCTTCCAAGCCAAGTTGCTTGTGTCCAGTCACTGTAGCAAGACCCCGTCTAGTTTCTCTCATCCCTGAAGCTCAGCTCACCTCTATGCCACCACAACACACAGGAACTTCCCAAAGCATTGTTTGGCTCCTGTAACAAACCAGCTAGAAAAACCTTTCAAAGGCTTCACCTGCATATAAGAGGACAAGGTCTGGTCCAAGTCACTTTTTCAGATTTATCTCCCTCTTCAATCCAACATTCCCTCCAAACAGGTCTCTCAAAGCTGCACAGACTTCATGGCACAATCAGTTATCTTAGGACCAAAGTACTCACTACTCCCCTACACTGGGACATCTCTTGCCTCTTCTTCTGATTCATGTAAGAGAATGGGGAAAGAAAATATTCAACAGCATCAACATGAGTTCCAAGCAAAAGAGAGAACCATTTCCTTGCTGAAGGTCAAATGTCCATCTCCAGATTCAAAAGTTGGCATTCTCAACTCCATTCCCCACACCTAACTCTTGGCATTACAAGCAATCACATCCTATTTTCCATCTATAATTTCTCCATCCCTTGCTGCAAAATTAAATTAGAGTGAGTGTTCAAAAGAGTCTGTATTATGAGTCACTGTGCAAGGATGGCAGAGACTTGACTTCAAGGGTAGCTGTGGATCTTTGATGGTGGAGGCAGAAAAAGGAGAGGGGATGTTAACCCACCCCTGGACCCGAGAGATCTCCTGTCATATAAAGAAGGTTCTAGGCTTTCAAAATGTATGGTCCAATTTCTATACAGCATACACCTGACTGGGGAAGCAAAGTTGGGAGGAGGAGGGAAGGAAGATCTCTCGGGGGAGCCCATTGCCTCCTTCAGAAACCTGGAGAGCAGTGGAGAACGTCTTTCAGTCTCCGATGCACTACGCCACGCCTCCACCCTACGTCATAGTCTCAGGAGTGCAGAGCTAGGGAAGCCCACACAAGCGGGGAGAATGAGCGCAGGCAGGGCTGGGAGGAAGGAGGATTTAATTGCTCACATACCTGATCAAACAGGACTTTCCAGTGCTGGTAGAGAGGAAGACCATGCAGGAGAGGAGGATGAGGAGAGAAAGAAAGAAACACTTATCACAGGCCTCTATAGTCCCCTCAAATTCCTTATATATCTCCCAGCTGCTGCCCCAGCTCAGGAACCCACCAGGAGACCAGGAAAAGCCTGGGAAGAGCTGGTCATGGGTATACACCCAGTAAAGGGAGGGAATTTAGAAGGGGGATCCTTCCTTCTTGGCCCGGCAGAGGGAGGGGTGAGCAGAACAAGGCGATTTTCAACAATTACTAAATAAAGGTGTCCGCCTCTGATAACTTCTGCTGCCTAAAGTTCATGTTCATGTCTACTCCCAGGCCTGGGAAAGCATGGCCAGGTGAAACCGCCACAGCTCCATTGCAGTGGTATCAACCTGCAGGGGCTCAGGGACCCCCTACTCATGAAAGCACCCCTTGCAATAAGTACTAACATTTTGCCAAAAATTTGGGAGGAGGGGGCTTCCAAAGGCTCTGAGACACACCTGGCCTCTCCCCAGGCTGGGGGCTTTGGGGTAAGAACTGCGGTGGGTAAAGGGGAGAGATGTTAAGCTCTCCCCACCCCCACCGCAGCCTCCTACATACAGGCTTTCCATTTAGGTCTGGTGGCTTGGGGGGCCTGGCATCATTTCCATTTCTCCACCCTGAAAGAGGGACAGGGCAGGGCAGAGGGTTTGCTTAATTTTTAACCTCTATTTTCAGGTTAACTCAGGAGCAGGAGCTTAAGAAACTCCAGTTCCCAGGACTGCCCAGTACCGGCTGCGCCGAAGGCTCCCAGGACGAGAAGGGGGGAGGAGACTGAAGCAGCAGATGGCAGGGAAGCCCGATGGGGCAACTCCTCCCTATCCTTGCCCAGGCACCGTCGCTGGCACCGGCGCTGTCTGGGACTCCAGAGCCCCCTTCTGGGAGCAAAACCTCTCCCAGCACTCCTCTCCTTCCTAGGGCCGGGTTCAGGAACAGGGGCCAGCTTGAATTTCAATCAGTGTCGCGACAGAGCAGGTGCCAGGCGGGAGCTAATCCGGGATTGGAGAAGGGGGTCGCCACACCGGTCTGCGCTGCTGGGGTCCATGGACTCTGCGGCGCCCGCTCCTTCCCAGGGCTTGGGGAGCCCGCAGGTCGCGAGTGGGAGGGGAGGGGGAGTCACTGCTGTGACGCGGCCGCCTCTGCGGGAAAACGCCGTGTCCCGGGCACTGCACCAGCCGCGGGGAAGGGGCTCTGGCGGCCGACCGGTTCCCAGTGCAGCGGCTGGTGTAGCGTCCCGCAGGGAAGCCGCGGGAACCCGAGTGGGGGCTGGTGCGCGCGCGTTTTGGGGAGACGAGTCCCTCCGCCTTCTCCCGGGACGCGGACAATCCGGGGTGCTCCCGCGTCACCTTGAAACCTCCAAGTTGCCCCACAGGGGGCTAGAGGGGGGCAGTTCTCCCCACAGTACCCCCCAGAAAGTTTGCCCGGGGTGGGGGAGGGGGCACTCACGTCCTCCGGCGCCGGCGGCGGCCGCTCCTCGGCCTCGGGTTCCAGCTCCTCGATGCGCTCCGCCTCGGCGCAGGCGGCCACTGCGGGACCTGGGCTAGGGTGCTCGCCCATGTCTAGGCAGGGTCCAGGGGCGGCCGGCGGCTGCGGGGCTCGTCCCGGGGCGCCAGGCTAACTTTGCGCTGTGGCGCTTGGGGGGCTCCGAGAGCGCCGCGCCGCCTCCGCTCCAGCCCAGCAGCCCGCGTCCGCCCCCATGGCTCCGGCCCCCGCTTCGCGACCCCGGGACGCCCGGCTCCTCCGCAGGCAAACTTCTCCGCGCTGGCTGCCCCGCCGGCCTCCGCCTCCGCCCCGGACCCACGCCTGGCTCCGAGGCGAGGGCGCCCTTGGGACGCCCCGACCCCGCCGCTCCCCGCGCTCCCTTCCCGCTTCCCGCGGCCCCCGCTCTGCGCCGGAGTCTCCTCCTCCCCGCGGACTCTTCGGGGGCGGCGCGCAGGCGGGGGCGGGGCTGCTCCCGGGGACCGCCGTTCCCCACCCGCCCCCTCCGGGCGCCACCACCCGGGCCAAAACGGTCAGAGCGGCGCGGCGGGTGAAAGGGGGAGGGCTGCGGCGGGGTTGGCCGCACAGTCCCTGGCCCTGTCACCACCAGCCTCCACCCCGGGCTGGGGTTTGTCTCTCCGTACAGGGCCGGGGTGCACGGTCCACTTCCCCGAGACCACCGGGTTAAGGATCACTTAGAGGCGACAGATGCCTGGAGGATGGGGTGAGATTTTCACTAAGTTGGCCATGTGGGGGTTAACCGGAGGTGAATTGGGGGCGAGATGCTGGCAGGAGGACGCGATCCTCCCCCCCCCACCACCACCACCACCACCGCCACTCCTAGTAATTTAGGAGCTGGAGAAATCAGCTATGGGAACCTGGGGCCCCCAATCCTACATCTTTCCGCCCGGAGGCCCAGAGCTCTAAAGGTACTGAGTACCCTGCTTCGTTTGAGCAGACTGACAAAGCTCAGGGAAGTGCCCCAAATGGGAGAGAGGCGGTAAAAACAAGTAGGAATGAAGTTAAAGCAAAGGAATAGAGAAAAAAGCCAAAACCAAGCACTGTTTCCTCTCCCCCTCCCCCCGCAGGAAAGCCCCTCCCCCTGGAGATCTGTCTACCTAAGAAACTGTCTCCAAAGAGGAGGCTCTGCCTTCAGGACGGTGGCGTGGGGGTACTGGGCTGGGTCAGCTGCCTGGCCCCCCAAGGACCTTGTCTTACAGTCAGTCTCTAGCCCACACTCCCCTTCCACTCCTCTCCCCACCAACCACCAGCTCACTCACTTGCCTTTTTGCTCCTCTTCTCCCTACCAGAGACTGAGGCTCTTTTCCACTGGTGAAAACTGCAGTTAATAAGAAGGGTAGATGTGTTGATAAAATCTTCATAAAGCAGACACCTACCCCTAGTCCGCATCCGACCTGTGACCATCTCATCCGGCAAAGACAGCTCCCTTGAAACACAGAGAAGGAAATTAACTCAGCTCTAATTAGGTGAGTTTGCTATAGACACCAATTTTCATCTTCCTTCAGAATGTGTGATCATTTAACTATTTTTGTTTCTCTCTCGTCACCATCCCCCAGTCCCTACTCTACTAACAAGTCAAGAATCTGCCAAGATTTCCTTGTAAATAAAACTGTCTGCATAGGGTGTGATTTTGAAAACAGCCTTCAGGGGACAGAGCAGAGGCTGGATTCCTTTGTGGAAAGCCCAGAAGGATAACAGCAGGGTGCTTGGGCCCCTGAGATCATTATCGCCTCTCCTCCCCCATGTCATTTAAATGACCTTCCTGGGTGCTGGCCATGTTACCCTTAGATGTCTGAGACTGAAGGAATAGCCAGCAAGAGGGCAGTTCCAGGGAAATCAGGTGGCAGGAGGAGGCACTCCAGAGGGGTAGACCCCTTTGTCAAGATGCCTTCAGCTCTCTGCTGTGTTGCCATTCCAGTGTGCTTTTTTTTCTATCCAGCGACGACTTTCATTAACCTATCCACACCTGTCACCCCCAAGTGGAAATGACCTCAGCAGGCTCAGTTCAGTTCCCTGAACATTGATTGCGCTCCTACTAAGGGCCAGAGCCAGAGCTTGGGGAACACAGAAAGGATCCAGATGTGCCCTCCCGAAACTATTTGGAGGGGTGGGGGCAGGTGAGGCAGTGACAGCTATGGAAATACAAGGGAGTATAGAAACCAAAAGGAGAGGGCCCTCCCTGTTGACACAGTGGGTTAAGACGCAGCACTATGAAGCTGTCCGAAGCCACGGCAGCATGAGTTCGATCCCTGGCAGGGAGCTGACCCACATGGCGCAGCAGACCTCTCTTCAGCAGTGTATTTCAGTACATCTGCCTGTTCTGCTCCCCACTCTGTCTCTGGTGAAATCTCTCACCTCCGCACCTCTGTCCAGTACCCCAGTTCTTGTATGTGTACATAAATAAATCGTTTTAAAAAAGAAAGAAAAGAAAGTAAGGAACTAAAAGGAGGGGGTTCTTGTGAGTCCAAAAAGACTTCCATGAAGGATGTGACCCCAGGCAAACTGGGGAAGTGGAAGGAGGTTCATTCCAGCCAGGTGGAACAACAAGGACAAACTCCAGGCCTGTGAGACATGGAGTGGGGTATGGGAGGGCCATTCCAGGCAGTCTGGTGAGGCTGGAAATAGAAGGAGAGGTTGAAGAAGATAGAAGGAAAAGAGGGATCCCACCTAGGGATCTGTGGACCAAAGCAGCAGCTGCCAGAGAGAGGATTGAGGAATATCCCAAAGCATCGTGTTCCTCCTCCTTCCCTAGGAACATTTCACCTTCCCCTACCCCCCAACAGACAGGGGGACCAAAAGTCTTCTTGGAAAAAAATTCCAGCCGCTAATAATCCCCCTTCAGGAGTCCATGTCCCTTTCCTGACCCCTGCTAAAAATACAGTCATCTGGACTTGGAGAGTGTTAGGATGAGTCGTGACATCAACATCCTTCTGAATCTGAGGCCATACTCTCACCTTTTGCCCTCAGTGTTACCTCAGTGATGCCAACTGTCCATGCCAACACTTAGCCCCAGGTGAATCTGTAAATAGGTATAGTTAGGGCCTCCGTGGTGGAGCAGGGGTTAAGTCTCAGCACTATGAAGCTATCACCAGCCATGGCAGCCTGAACTCAGATCCTCATCCAGGGAGGTGACCCATATGGTGCATCAGACCTCTCCTGTTTTACTCACTGCTCCCCTCAACACTGCATTTCTGATGATCCACCTATTCTGCTCCCCACTCTGTCTCTGGTAAATCCCCAGCACCTCTGGTCTCCATTCCAGTTCTTATATGCATAAATAAAAATGAATCTTTTTTAAAAATTTATTTATGCATACAGAAATGGGGTGGAGGCCAGAGGTGCTGAGGATTCACCAGAGACCGAGTGGGGAGCAGAATAGGCAGATTGATATAGTACACTGTTAAGGGGAACAGCAGGCAGGTCGGGAGAGGTTTGCTGCGCCATGTGGGTCACCTCCTGGGCCAGAGATTGAACTCGCACTGAAGCAATTGCAGCCAGCTTGCAGTGCTGCATCCTAACCTGTTGTGCCACCAGGGAGGGCCAAAAAATGAAGATTTATAAAAAAAGATAAGTATAGTCCACTTCCCAGCAGGCAGTGGGACATGGGCCTGGAGTCCAAGACCTGGAAGCCTCTCAGGGATGGGAGCGGCTAGGCTATCCAAAAGCTGTTGTCCTACTCCAATCTAGGACCACCTAAAGCTGGCGTGCTCTGTGCTACACTGAGGACAGAGGAGGGACTGGGTCTGGTGCCTACCCACCTTCACTGAATGGTTGCCATGGGACCTCTGTGCACGGGTGCTGCCTTCAGACCTCTCAGGTCTCGTGGGAGATGACAGCAAACCAGGACTGACTGGCCCTCGCCCTTCATTTTATAAGCACGCCACACCCACAACCTCTTTAAAGCTCCTAAGACACCCTAAGTCAAAGCAGAAGAGCATGAAAGCCGGGAGAGCAGTTTCAAACACCAAAGGTCAAATTCAGTTCAGAGGGGCAGCAGCCTGTTCCTGGGATGCGCCTTGAACATGGGCAGCTTAGGGGTAGAGCGTATATAAGGGTTTCTGGGAGGAGGGGGCCGCGGCAGCAAAGACAGGAAAGCCAGAGGCCGTGCTGGACACAGCCAAGTGGGTGAACACAATGTGGGGGTGGAGGTCCAGGTGGCTGAGAACTGTGTCTGCCAGTCACAAAGGTCCTTGCCTGTCAGTCTGAGGAGGCTTGGATCTCCATCAGTGGGCAATGGGGAAGCTGTGAAGGCTTCTAACTGGAGCAGCATTTTAGGAAGATGAAGTTGGCAGCAGCTCAAGAGTGTAATTCAACTAATACATTGGAGTGTCCATTATTTGCCAGACCTTGGCCAAGGTGCTGAGAATACAAAGGGAATAAGACCCAGGCCCTGGCCTCCTGGGAGAAAATTAGGTAATTTTCTAATTACAGCTCAGAGGGGTAAGGGAGGTGGGAAGAACAGTTTGGGGACTGAGCCTCTAAGAAGAACCCATCAAGAGAGGGAGGGCTTGTTTTATTATTTTTAAAAGATTTATTTTTATTTATTCATGTACACAAGAACTGGGGTATAGGCCAAGGTATGGAAGGGGGTGAGAGGATTCACCAGAGACGGGGGGGGGGGGGTTTGCAGAACTGGAAGAGTGACTGAAATACACTGCTGAGGGGAGTGGTGGGCGAGACAGGAGAGGTCTGCTGCACCGTGTGGGTCACCTCCCTGGCCGGGGATCGAACTTGGGCCACAGAGGCTAGATCTAGCTTAATAGTGCTGACTTTACCCTCTGCCGCCAGGGAGGCCAGGTTTGTTTTTTTTAAAGGATCTGATGTTCTGAAACATGGTGGTAGGGAGGCTAATACAGGAGGCACAGGACTGCTGCTGGTGAGCCAGGGAAACCAGAGGAACCACTGGGAGAGGAGGGGCGAAGGGAGCTGGGTTTGTTTGTGGACAACATGAGCTAATGAGAAGCTAGGGAAGAAACATTAAGGGCTGTAATTACTGCTCAAAGCAAATGGCAGCGCCCAGAAGGGGGGTAAATAGGGTGACTTTTTCTCCAGAACATCTCCCACTTTTTCACCTCTTCTTCAACAATAGTTTTGTATTCTGAGTCTCCCTAGGCCCACATCCTTCCAGGCCCTATCTCTCCCTGAAGGAGGCCTGAACTGACCCTTACAGCCTCCCCCCACCCACGTGGGGCACTCCCATCTTCTGAGGAGTCTGCAAACAGCCCTGAGCTGCTGAGCTGCCGCCGGCTGCCTGCCTGAGATGAAGACATGAGTTATTTTTGACTGAGATCCAAGCCCAGGCCCTGAATTCTTTTGTCTTCCAGGAATCCCCTAGTTATGTTTGAAGTCTGCAAGTCCGAACAGCGGACGCA